TATCATATATATTTTTAAAAAAAATCTACATTATAAACAAAAACGTTTGCGGTTTTTCTCTTCTTTTTAATATACACACTTTTCTCTCGTTGGAACAGTTATAACCTCTTCCCTATATATATATATATATATATATATATATATATAGTGGACAATTTAAAGCCGAAAAATACTTTGTAGGAAGTTGCTTACAGTAAGCACTATTCACAAGCGCCCCCCCCCCATCTAAGTATCGGGCTCGAGTGTCTAAATTCGGTGATCGAGCGAGAACTGTTGTTTTCAGCGTTGCCACATATAAACATAAATAAATAAAAACGTATATTATGAAATGAACAAAGTCCGACAATTATTTTAAGACATTTTTATGTTTATATGTTCTTTTATATACAGAAATATTTAAGTAAATGCTCTGCTAAAACCCAGTAAAATCGACCTTGCTAACCGAAACGCTCCTCTGTGGCCCAATCGGGAAAAGCACGTCAGGCTATATGATGGTTCCGTATAGGATACAGGTTCGATTTCTGTCGGAGGACGCATATTTTCTATGAAGATTTCTCGGACATTCAGGCCGGTAAATATTGTTAATACTGTTTATTATAAGCAGGGTATTTAGTTAAATATTTGTATCTATAAAAAGAACGTATAAACATAAAAATGTCAAAATAAAAAACGTATGTATATGAATGAAGTGGTATAGTGAAGTGGGTATAAATCATTTAATTTCCGTACAGCAATAAGTTTAAGTGTTAACTATTATGTCAATTTAGTCTTATTCCAATTCCGGTGATGTAAAAAAAAAAAAAATGAAAGGATTTATTTAACGAAATTTTGTTTTCTCCACTGACAACACACAGTTCTTGATAATAACTGAGACAGTCGACTCTACTGAAAGAAGAAAAAAATAACTTTAAAGAGTTTATCTTTTATTTTTGATCCTTATATGTAACATCTTAAATGAAAATTGGAAAAATAAAATAACTTATTTATAGTGGATACCCATATTTGAGTAGATGTTTGTTTATTAAACAGTATAGTTACCTATTATTATCTACCGGCCTGAATATTCTATAAATCTTATTAGAATATATAGGATATCCAGCAGGATTCGAACCTGCGTTCCTCGAGGGTAAACTGTCACGTCATATCTAACATCGGTTTCCCCTAAGGGGTATCCACTACAAGTAATGTTTAATTAATAAAATAAAATGTATACAGAAATTGTCACTTGAATTAAAAAAAAAACATATTTGGAGATAATTTATACAGCATCATTATCTTGTGTAGAAATACAAATGTTTTTCATCTTGGAGACAGGCACCTTACTTTCATTGAATGGCAGCAAATGTCACCAATTATGTTGGGACAATTATTGTCCGCAAAAGAAGCAGGAGCAATGGATGGCAAAATAAGTGCGGTAAAGAGGAAAGGGGTCATGAATTACCTTGATGATGAAAAGACCGAAAAATGTGGAGAGCCGTGATCTAGAAAAGACATGGCACACAAGATGAGAGAGAGAGAGGTTTCGATAGTATTCACCCTTAATATTATATTGAGGCGATTCCCTATTGATTGATTTTGGTGAAACTTAAACTGATTGTTTGGGACTACTTCGGTCATTAAGTCACTGTTCTCAAAACTCCCCCGGACACACACACACACATACACCAACACACACACAACCAAAAGCATGCACACAACTTTCAGTCTATAAGATTATGCACGTTTTATTTACATACTTAAATGCAAAAAACTTATTTGTTGTTTTAGTTGTTGTAGTTGTAGAAATTGTGCATCATCGTCGTCGTCGTCTTTAGTTTTTTTGTTTTTTTTTAAATTTTTAACAATTTCAATTTATTTTGCATCTTTTTGTTGATTTTTTTTTTTAATTTTCTATTTCCAATTTGTGATGTCAGCTTTTTATTTTTTCTTTATATTTAAAAAATACATTTACACTGATTATTATTTTTGCGTTTTTATTTCTATTCTAAAATGATATATAGTTCTAAATTTTATATTTTATTTATATTTTCTCGGATTTAAAGAAATATTTCTATTCTAAACTTAAATATAATTTTATTTTCTATTAATATACTTTCTCGCATTTTAAATAAATACTTCAATTTAAATATCTAAATTTATTATAATTTTTATTTTCTATTAATATATTTCTGCATTTTCGCATTTAAATAAATACTTCAATTCTAAATTTATATATAATTTTATTTTCTATTAATATATTTTCTCGCATTTTAAATAAATACTTCAATTTAAATTTATATATAATTTTATTTTCTATTAATATATTTTCTCGCATTTTAAATAAATACTTAATTCTAAATTTATATATAATTTTATTTTCTATTAATGCATTTTCTCGTATTTTAAATAAATACTTCAATTCTAAGTTCTTATATATAATTTTATTTTCTCTTTTTACATTTTTTATTTGTATTTTCTCGGACTTTAAATAATCGTTATTAATTTTTTCAAAGTACATAAC